CCTCAGGGAGAGGTAAACGCATGCCTTGTATTCGATTATCGGTCTGATGAAAGTCTTGTAGGTGTGTAACAATGTGTTAGAGGACGTTCCTCCTAGTTTACCGGCTAGCACTTTCAGGAGGTTGAGCCTTTTTCTCATCCTGTCAAGGGATTCTTGGACGTCAGCCTTCCAATTGAGAGTTCTCGTAAAACGAACTCCCAAGTAGAGAACTGAGTTCCTGAGAATAAGGTCCTCTCCCAAAAGTGTCACCCGGCCCTGGAGGCCGCGTCCGTAAGGAGGTCTGAATAAAATTGCTTGGGTTATGGAGGGGTTTAAAGTGACCCTCCATTTTTTGCACCACCTCACGACTCTATCAAGGTAGTCTTGCGATTTTTCGAACACAGACCGTCTCTCTCCTTCCCTGTAGGAACCTGAGGTGAGAATGGCTGTATCATCAGCGAATAGGAGTAGAGACTCTGATCCTTGCTGTAGGTGGGGGATGCCGCTACTGTAGACTGTGTATAATATTGGAGCAAGTATTGAGCCTTGGGGTACTCCTGCTTGTGGAGTGAATGGAGTGGAGAGATGTTCTTCTATTTTGATCCTAACCGTCCGATGGGAAAGATAGGAATTTATTAGTTTAACGAAAGGTGTTGGCAGTCCAGCAAGATGGAGTTTCTCGATCAAACCTGCGTGCCAGACCTGATCGAAAGCCTTCCGGACATCGAGGAATATGCCTACGACGTGCTTTCTTTCGTTAATGGATTGAGAAATGAAAGTTGTTGCTTCAACCAATGCATTTTGTGTGGAATGTCCAGCCCTGAATCCGAATTGGTAATTGGGACTAAGGAAGTGAGCGTCTAGGAATTCTACGAGTCTCTCCTTGAGGATCCTCTCGTAGACTTTACCTAGGGTGCTCAGTAGTGAAAGTGGTCTATACGATTCAGGGTTGTTGAGGGTTTTCCCTTTTTTTGGGACCATGGCAGTGCTGGCCACTTTCCAAGGGATAGGAAAGTGGAGGGTAGTAGAATATATCTTCCACTCTCCGTTCAGTGGCTCTTTTGGATCTTTCATTGAAATTGAGGTTATTGGGTGAAACGAGGGTGGCCTGAAGTGTATTTTTGAAAGCTTCGGCCTTATCTTGCGGATTGTTTAGTAAGACGTTGTTGACTTTGAGGTAAGATCGTGGCTGACTTTTTTGTCTTGTTAGGACTTTGAGTTTGTTCCAGAATGCAGAGCCATCCCGGTAGTCGAGGTCCGAAGTGACTCGCATCCACTGTCTTTGTTTCAGCTTGTTCACTTCGAGCCTTATGACCGCCGAGAGCCTATTGTATTCTGTTTTGATAAGGGGTCTCTGAATCTTTTATACTCTCTAAGTAGTCTGCGTTTAGTTTTAATTGATTTAGTGTCTACCTGAGTCGAACCGTATTTTACTTTGATTCTACTGCGAATCCAACTGTTTATTGCCTATCTGGGAGCTTCATGTTCAGCATATGTCTTTCCATAGATCAATGCTATCTATAATATTTATGGTAATATACAAAAGAATTTACTAAAAACTGCCGAACCTAATCTGCTCCTTTTTAATTTTCTTTTTTTATTTTTCTTATTCAGATTTGTGATATGTCTTAACTATACATATTCATTTACTTGTTTTTTGTTGTATTGTAATATTCAGTTTCTTGTTTTGGTAAGTCGCAGTCCTTGCTGAATATAAAGATCAAGGATGACCACAAGAATAATAATTTTAACCAGGTTTTGTTTGAACAGCAGGTGAAGTAATTTGTTTTAAATTTTGATGACTACAAGATGTTATATCAGTTATTGCTGCCTTATACATATGCGACTGTTTTTGAGAATCTTCTAAAGATCTAGATTTAGATAATGCATTTTCCAAAGACAAAGAACACCACGAATACAGTCATTTTTATTTTCGCGTAATCTCATTTCTAGGTTTAACATACAATTGTTTCAAAATTTTTATAGCAGAAATGTATGTCTTTACTTTGCATATGTAACCATAAGTTATATGCAGTACAAAATTTATTAAAAGCACGTACTTATCTGTATCTTCTAGTAAATTATCTTTAGATTTACTTTTTTTCTAAAAATTCTTAAATATTTCATACGAATGTTTGAATTTTTTGGCGGCAGTTCTAGAGTTTAAATCAGCCTCAAGTTTATCTTGTCTAAAAGTCTCTAGTTCTCCATTGTATATTTATGAGAAAAAATTGTAGTAAAATAGGTCTCTACCTTTTTGCAGAATAAGGTCTTTATTCGCATAAAACTTGAAATTAGAATGACAAACAATAATTCTTTGAATACTGACAAATATCGCTACATTAAGAACACTATCACAACACTATGAACATTAAATTATACTAATTACAAATAAATAATAAATGCAATTTCTTTACTTACCAAATAATATAAACGTAATTTTTTTCTAAACCGGCTCTGATACGTAATAGTCTGAAATATTAAATTAATATTCATTTAATACTGAGAAATTCCTCCAAATTTAATAGTTTAATAGTTAAATTATGTAGTAACAAAATTAATGAAAATTTAGCATATTTTTTATCGTTATCCGGGAAATAATAAAAAATACATTTTATGTTCATAAAACTAAAAAAGGCTATTTTTATATTACGACATTTTCATAATGAAAACAAAAACAATAAACAGTTAAAATGTTGGAAAGTTACAAAAAACAAGTAACAAGTAACCAGTTGTCGTATAAAATAAAAAGGATTTTATGTCTTCTGTTTTCATTTTTAGTTACTTACTTTATGCCTTTATGGATTTAGTTTCTTAACAAAAACAATTGAATTTGTAGACAAAAATTTAATAGCTACAAATAAGCCTCAATGTCATAAATACCAACTTAAAAATTTTAAAAAATCGTTTTTGTTTGGTAACAAAAAAGAAGAAGATTTATTCATCATTGATAGAATCCTGAAAAAATGTAACAAATACATGGAAAATTCAAAATGTGATATTTTACTGATTGCATATATAAACTACAAACAAATAATATAATTATAAATTTTGCTTAGATTTTGAATTTCTGACCTTTTGTTTTAAACAAAAGGAACGAGATTTCGATTGTCATGAAATTATCTCGTCTGTTATCAATATCCTAGGGATATTCTGATAACATTTATTGTTTTAAATCTGCAAATCTATTTTACTGAAAAAACAAGTAGGTCATTAAATTAGTGGAAATAATATTTGAGGTTGAATCTTTGACATCATGAGTAGTATGAAAATTGATTAAGGTAGAAAATGAAAAGAGGTGATGTGGTACTATCCACAGAATAGTGTCAGAAATGGTATGTAAAGTAATATATAGTAGATTAAGTTGAAATGCAATAAAATTGAAGTTAAAAAAAAATTGATTGGGTGGTTGGTGATTGCCTAACAACGGTAAGAGACCTGGTGTATAAATCTCTGAGAGTTTAGAAAGTTAAATAGTAAAATGAATAAGCGTATTAAAAAAGTATGAAATAATATGATAACAGAATATGAGATTCTATTATTATATTGTAGTTTTTGTTAGTATTAATATAGTATTACCCTATAGTGAAGTATATTAAAATGAATATAAATGAAGCTGAGAAAGAATAAATGGAAATATTAATATAGGAAAGAGGAAATGTAAAATGTTGAATAATATACAAAAGAATGAATAAATTGTATACTATGTTGTTGTGAACACCATGAACAAATTGATATGTGTGTGAATATGTATTAGAGAAAGAATGAAATAATAAAGACTAAGTATATGTTGAGTTAATTGTGAGGAGATTAGATTGACTGCTTATCTGAGCTGGTTAAGTGAAATGTTTAGTATAGGTGGTAATGTAGTCCACATACTGAAAGTATCGAATGAATGTGTGAAGATGATGATGAAATTTAATTTTAGTGATGAAGTTTAAGTTTAAAGATTAATGATGAAGAATAATAGTGAAGAACGGTACAAACAAAACAAGTAAGGTGACCCCAAGAAATAAGAGACATTTGGAAAGAATATGTGAAGAAGAGAGTCATAAAACAACTGGCAGGAGGACGAGAAATACGAAACTGCAATGGAATAAGATGGTGAAAGAGGAAGGGATATGATGGATAAAAAGAAAGAAAATGAAGGGGGAACAAATTAAGGTATGGTATGTGTTATTGGGTGATTAGTAAGGAAGTTATAAAATGTTAGATGCTAGTTGGGTAGTTGGAAAAAAGGAAAACAGAAGCAAACTGAAAAAAGGGATGAAATTTAAAGGCAATTATTGTAATGTTGATTTGAATTAAGGGAATAGTTGTCGGTGTATGGAAGTAAAAGGTCAATTTAGGGTAGTTTGTCGGTTAAAACAATTGGGGCTAGTCCTCATATCTCTGGAGATCTCAAGGTCCTCACACCTCACACAAAGTCCAACCGTAAAGTGTTTCTATCTTGGATGTTATGAATTAATTTGACTGCATCAGGGATGTTAAAATGATGATTCTTGATTTTAAGGTGATGTGAAAAAGCTGATATATTATCTCTTTTAGAGTGTTCTGCAGATCTAGGTGAAAGTGACCTATAGGTCCTGCCAATGTAGGATGCATCGCAATCAGAACAAGTCAGCACTACGGTTCATATAGTGTATTGTATCTTTAGTATTTGTCAAGAAATGGTTAAGAGTATTTCCAACTTGAAAATATATATGTGTGTTTTCTGATGAATTAATTATAATACTTCTGATATTTTCAGATAATGTGGGAGTGGGAAGATGATCTGATTAGATCAAAAACGTCACGTTATGCTACTGTATAAATTTTGACGACACTTTTTTAAAGTTTTAATTATATGTTTTTTGTACACCTAAATACAAATGTGAAGTGTTTTAACTTATGTATAAGTTTTTTTAAAACAATTGCTTGTAATAAATTTGTAGGAACTATCTTTTGGTGGAATAATTTTCGTACCGCGATTCATATTTTTTTTTTGTTTAAAAGTATATAATATTCGACCGGTTCACATGAGACTATCCTAATGTAGTAGTTGTTGGCGAACCAAACAATTAAAATCAGTTCCTCCTCTTATAAGTGAATTTTTTCTATAAATACCGGAAGACAAGTTCGGAGATCTTAATCGAAAAAATTAGGTGGTGAAAACGGTTAATTCTTGTTTAACTCTCGAAGTGGTATAATAAAGAAGTGAGTAGTTTAATATGTTGGATATCTTAAAGAACAATACACATTTTATCAATAGTTTTATTTAGAAAGAAAAACATTTATGCTTACTTTTATCTTTTCGATTAATCAAATTTTAAATATTCATAAGTTATATTTTTTAGATAAACTTTCGAAAATAAAAAAAAACTTTAGAAAACTCTTTTCCTTCAAATATTTCTATTATTTTTGGTACTTTATAGCATTGATTAATGTTAAGATTTATTTTTAATGAAGAATTTTATCTTAAAATTTTATATCCTTCCCTTTATATTATTGTGGCTAAACACCCCACGGGGTTACGCCGCTTAAGCTCTCTAGATCTATTTTACGAGGTAGATCAGTCCTCATTTTCTTTATTTAATTTTTCTTGTTATTTTTCTCCACTGTTTCATATCTCTGGTTTTTTCTCTCCATTGTCGTACGCCCGCCCTGTTGAGATCGTTTGTTACTTCTTGTAGCCATGTAGATCTTGGTCTTCCACGTCTTCGTCTACCAGCTGGTGTCCATTCCAATATTGAGAAAATTGTCGTAGATGGTCCTGATCTCCATATATGTCCTAGCCATTTTGCCCTTTGCTGTTTTATTTTACAAACTATATCTTCTTTAATTTCGTTTAGTAGTTCATGATTCGTTCTTTGTCTATATTGGTTTTCATTAATTTTTATTGGTCCTAATATTGCTCTTAGTATTTTCCTTTCTAGTATTCTAAGGTCTTTCTCTTGTTTTTTTGTCATGCTAATGGTTTCGGCAGCATACACCATAGTCGGTCGAATTATTGTTTTATATATTTTCATTTTCGATTTTTTGCTCAGTAATTTATTTTTTAGAAGCTTTTTATTTGCATAGTATGTCTTATTTGCTGTAATTATCCTTTCTTTAATTTCTGTTTCCATTTCTCCATTGTTTGCTAATAATATTCCCAAATACTTAAACTTTTCTACTTCTTCAAATATATATTCTCCCAGTCTAACCTTTTTGTTTTCATATTTTTTGTCAAATCTCATTATTTTTGTTTTTTCTTGATTTATTACTAATCCCATTACTTTCCCTTCTGCTACCAATTCTTTTAACATACTTTCCATTTTTTTCTGTTCTTTGTTATTATCACAATATCTTCGGCATATGCTATTATTTGTCCCTCTCTCGTTCTAAGTGTACCTTTGTTGATTTTTCTGACTATATATTCCAGGGCAAGATTAAACAGAGTTGCAGATAATGAATCTCCTTGACGTACACCTTTATTTATAACAAATTCTTCTGTGTCTCCTTCTTGTGTTTTTACAGTTACTACGGTTTTGCTCATTGTCATTTTTATTAATCGTCTTAATTTGTTGTGTATTCTCATTTCTCTCATAGCTGTAAGTAATTTCGCTCTGTTTATTGAATCAAATGCTTGTTGGAAGTCTATAAAAAGCAGTTCAATTTCTATTTTATATCCATAAGTTTTCTCCATAATTTGCTTTACCGTATGTGTGGCATCTGTTGTTGACTTTCCCCTAATAAATCCGCATTGATACTGTCCCATGATATTTGTTGTCGCTTTGGCCAGTCTTCGTTGTATTAAGGTTGACATGATTTTATACGCTGTGTTTAATAACGTCAGTCCTCTATAATTATTACACATTTGTTGGTCTCCTTTTTTATGGATTGTGATAATTTGTCCTTTGTGCCATTCTTCTGGCATCTTTTCTTCGTCCTATATGACTTTTATTAATTGGTATATTTTTCCTCTGAGTTCATGTCCACCATATTTTCTTAGTTCCATGTTTATACCGTCTATACCTGGTTCTCTACCGTTGCGACTACTGTTTATAATTTCCTCAACTTCATCTCTCGTTGGTTTTTCTAGCTCGGTTTCTATCATCGTGGTCTCTTCTTCCACATTTTCATTTAAGTCTTCGTCCTCTTGTACTGTTAATAATTCTTTAAAATAATCAGTCCAGATTTCTTTAAACTCTTTGTCATTTTCTGATACTTTTCTATTTCTATCCTTTATGCCTTTTATCTTTCCTTTGAAGGTTTTGTTCTGCTCGCTAATTTTCTTATAAAATGCTTTTGTGTTTCTATTTGTGTTTTCTTTTTCTATTTCATTTATCTTATCATTTAACCAGGTTCGTTTAATTTTTCTTATTTGTTTCTTACATTCTGTCTTTAATTTGTTGTATTCTTCTTTATATTCTTGTCTATTTGTTCTGATCCACCTTTGTCTTATTTCTATCTTCTTTTTTAACATGTTATGACAGTCTTGATTATACCATTCTTCTTTTTTGTTCTTTCTCTCTATCCCTACATGTTCAGAAGCTGTTTCATTTATACATTTTTTTATATTGCTCCATTCTGTTTCAACATCCTCTGTATGTTCACAGTATTCCTTTAGTTTTTTGCTTATATCTTCTGCATATTTAATTCTTCTATCTGTAGCATTTAATTTTTCTATGTACCATTTGTCCTTTGTTGTCTTGTTTTTTAGCGTTCTTTTGACTTTTTGTCTTAACGTTGCGGTAACCATGAAATGGTCTGTGTCTGCATGTGCACCTCTGTATGTTCTCACGTCTGTTATCGACGTTTGCTTTCTCTTTGTGATGAGTATATGGTCTATTTGGGACCATGTTTTTTGGTCTGGTGAGACCCATGTTACTTTGTGGTATACAGGGTGTGCAAATTTTGTACTACTGACAATCATATTGGTGCTAGTTGCTAAGTTGCATAATCTTTGACCATTATCATTTGTTTTTTCATGTAATGTATATTTACCTGCAACTTGGTTAATGTAGAAAAAATTAGGTGGTGAAAACGGTTAACTCTTGTTCAACTCTTGCAGTGGTATAATAAAGAAGTGAGTAGTTTATGTTGGATATCTTAAAGAACAAAACACGTTTTATCAATAGTTTTATTTAGAAAAAAAAAACATTTATGCTTACTTTTATCTTTTCGATTAGTCAAATTTTAAATATTCATAAGTTATATTTTTTAGATAAACTTTCGAAAATAAAAAAAAAACTTTAGAAAACTCTTTTCCTTCAAATATTTCTATTATTTTTGGTACTTTATAGCATTGATTAATGTTAAGATTTATTTTTAATGAAGAATTTTATCTTAAAATTTTATATTCTTCCCATTAGTTCTATTATTTTCCACACACCAAGCTTTGTAATTATTATTAGTTATATAATCATAATCGTTAGCGACTTTTTAAGTGAACAAAATGTACAAAACTTTCCTTATTTTCTTTTTTTTTATTGGGGATAACCCGCATCAACCATGGAAGATTAGCGGTGGTGCAATAATATAAAAGGACTATAAGGAGGAGGAGGAGGACAATAATATGACTATAATATATTATAATGCTTAATATATTTGATTAATATAAACTATAAAGTTTTTACAAAGTTGATTATAATTTAGAATTTTTCTTGTAGCATCACTTATATTTGATTATACAATATCGTTTTCTTTAAAAATCTAATAATGTTGTCACAATCCGCACTGTCTAAAGTGCACTTTATATCACTTGGTAGTCCAGTAGCCTTTCTTTCCATTTGATGAACAGTCTATAACAATGTGGCCTACAGTAATTCTGGTGTCACAGGCGTAGCATATTCTAGGAGGTTCCTTCTTTAGTAGGTGTTCGTCCCTGGTCCCTGGTCCCTTCGCTTTACCAAAATTAGTGTTTTCGCTGATAAATCTGGGTTTACTTGCCGCAATTTATTATTTGGTAAGAGTTGATATCTTCATAACCATAAGTTTTTTGTGTACTCATTGATGCATTTTTTCATATCTGAGTGAGGAATTTGGTTAGTTTTACATCGGATCTGTCCATTTTACAAGCTTTTTTGGCCATTTAATCAGCTATCTCATTTCCTGGTATCCCCACATGAAATGGTATCCAATCAATATGTAGTTGTTTATGATTACTTTGTAGAGTCACAAGGTCTTTTTTAAACTGTTCTAAAATCGGATGATTCGGATATATTTTCTGAATTTCCTGGACTGTACTTAAGGAATCTGTGAATACTACTGTCATGTCTTCAGGTCGATTAAGAGTTTGTTGTACTGCCTTGAATATCGCAAAAAGTTCAGCAGAATATATTGAGCAGTCCTTAGGTACTGTTTCCAATTTGGGTGTTTTTGATGCATCGGTATAAACTAGTTGACGGGATCAATATTTATTTTTAATATTGTGGAAGTATTAGGGAAAAAGAGATAAAGGGGTATTGTCCTTAGTATAAGTTGACATATCTGTGTTACAATATAGAATTTGTATAGTAGACTAAGCGGAATCTGTAGAAATTCAGATCATAATGGACATTTTCCATAGAAAGCCATTTTTTGCTGGAATCCCTTCAGGATGTGCCTAATATCGATAATCACGATATGCGCCAGTCGCAAACCCTGTGCTAAATTTTTTATTTAACCAAATCTGAAAACAATTTAAAATTTCTCATTTTTTTGCTCCTATTTAGTTTATAATTCAAAAAATATTGATCCTAGAGAAAAAATTATGAGAAGTTAAAAGTTTCGTTATTCAATTTTACACAACATTCTGTTATCTATAAATTGAAGATTTAATGTTAATTGTTAAAAAATAGCAATAATTGGAAAAAAAGTACAAAAAATGAAGTTAATCCTTTAAATGTTTTCGACTTTCTAAACTTGACTTTCAAGCTCCATATTCCACATAGAAAAACTTTTTAAAATATTTAAAACGTGTGCTAAATGTTGTTCTTGCTTGTTTTGTGTGCTGTTTTGTGTTTTGTAAGTTTGATTTTTACAAAAAAAAATTCGTTCGCCTTTGTTTTAACAATTTAAAATTATTTATGAACAATTTATAATGTATAAATTTCAAGCTCAAAAAAATGCATGGAGAAAAAATGCAATTACTTGTTTAACATACAATTGTTTATTGCAAATTTCCCAATTTGCAATTAAATATGGTATTTGAAAATATGATATTTGAAATCCTTGTCATCCGAGACATCGAT